CCCCCTCCAATTTAGATGAGATATGTGTTATACCCAAGTGCCGTTTCAGTTAGAATTACCTTGTTGATTACCATAGGAATATATAATGACTGTGAGAATTTTCATATGAAATGTATACTTTTCCAGAGAGGAAAACAGGAAGAAACACTTGACATCTCATTTTATGATGACAGTATATTCTTGATGCCAAAATATAACAAAGGTATGGGAAAGAAAAGTTAAAGACCAGTATCGCTCATAACTATAGATGCCAAAATCCTAAATAAAATGTTAGCAAATACAATCCAGCAAGAAATAAAATGGAAAATATATCACAACCAAGTTGGGTTTGTTCTAGAAATGCCAGATCGGCTTAACATTTGAAAATCAATCAACGTAATTAGCTATATTAAAAGAATAAAGGAGAAAAAACAACCAAATAATTATCTCAATTGAATAAAAAGTATCAAGTATTGAAGAATACATCTATTATAAAAGGGGCAAGACCGCTTAAAAGAAAACTAAAATCTTATTGAAATTAAAGGACACAAATAAATGGAAGGATATACCACCTTCACAGGGTATATGGGCAAATTGTTACATACATAGTTAATATTTGTACTAACATATTGAGATGGATATTAATATTATCCCCATTTTTACAAATGATGAAGCTATGGCAAAGAAGTTAAATAATGTGATCATAAGTTGCAAAGATAAAAACTCAAGTTGTCTGACTCCAGAGTCACTTCCACAGCTCCATTAACTTAGAATCACCCTAGGATAAGTTGGCCCAGTCCCTACTTTTTGCGACATTAACTCCAATTTACTATGTTTCACCTTTCTAGTACATAAAATGCCGATGCTGGTCTAAATGATCTCTCCAACAACTCCTTTCAATAATATAGCTGTAAGTTGATGAAATTAAGGGAAACATCTTTGCTCATTTGTCAAACTCTGCAAAATTATTATACTAAGGCAGAGGAAGGCAATTCTTAGGGCTGATAAAAGAGTCTATGACAAGGAGTTGGGGAGTAGCAGACACAATTTAGCTATTATTTCACAGGAGGAAAAAAAAATACACCTTAGAGAAAATAAACTACTAACATTTCATTTTTCTGTTTGAAAGGTTACTATGGAAACCAAACACACTACTCTGATTTTCCCTTTTCTCCCTTTGGTACCCACATTCTCTGCCAAAACTTTGAAATATGCTTGAACACATTTGGGGATAATATTAACTGTCACTCTGCTTCTAGACCATCCACACTAGTACTAAGCAAATCACACTAAAATGACAGACAGTGCTCTTCTGAGTCAGAAAATCAGCACTGAATAAATTATCTTGAAAGACTCTGGATTCACTTTCTTCCTCTTACCCTGTAGTTTTTATACCAAATACTTCGGTTATCAACATATTTCAAGAGGTAAAGAAAAATTAAAATAGAATTTCTGGTATTACATTAATTTTGAAATGAGTTGTCAGGCACAAGTCATATTAGATGCATATAATTTCTTCAGGGCAAAATTATTTCATTAAAAGTTACTCAACCCCTGTACACCAATGTTCACAGCAGCATTATTCATTATAGCTTAAAGGTGGAAACCCAGATGACCATTAACAGATCAATGGGTAAAGAAAATACGCTATATACATATAACAGAATATTAATCAGACATAAATTCTGATACATGCTATTACATGAATGAACCTTAAAAACATTGCGCTAAGGGAAATAAGCCAGACACAAAAAGGACAAATATGCTATGATTCCTTTTATGTAAGATATCCAGAATAGGCAAATTCATAGGGACAGAAAGTACATTAGAAGTTACCAGGGACAGGGATGAGAGAATGGATGGATGGTGAGTCTTTGTTTAACACGTACAGAGTTTTGGTTTGAAATAATGAAAAAATTCTGGAAGTGGATAGCAGTTACTTGCACAACACTGTGAATATACTTAACATCACTGAGCTGTACATTTAAAAATGGTTAAAATGGTAAATTTTATGTTACTTATATTTTACTACAAAAAAAAAATCACCAAAAAAACCTTAATTAATGGTATTGAGAACCTAATATAATATGTACAAGGCAGAGTGAGCAAAACAAAGACTGATTCAACAGTCAAAAGACTAGTTCTTAGTACTCAATGATGTTAAAGAAATTTTAATTCAGGCAACATGGCAAACTAAGCTGAAATGAACATTTTCCTTTTCTACTACAAAAGCACAGAAATTCTGGATAAAATATAATAAGAATTTCTTTTAATACATTAAAGTGCTGTCTATCTTCTCTTTGGCCTTGTAGATCTACTCTCCACCCTTTACCACCCCACCTTCTGTACCTGAGAGGCTAACCAGTATGAACAATTTATACAAATACTCTTGCCCTCTGGTTTCCGGTTGGTTTCAGCTAATGAGGAACAGTGGCAGGAGACAGGAAGGAGGGAGAAGAATGAAGTCAGGGTATTTACTCCCTGTTCTGATAATTCCCTTCCCACCTTTAAGCCTATTGGTAGGAAGAACATCCTAGTGTTACCAGTTCCAGGTACCCTACTATCTCCTGTGGTTTCCCTTTTCGGTCAACACGTTTGCCCTTTTATTAAACTCTCCTAAAACTGCCCAATTTGAGAATGTCATCTTTTTCTGATTAATAGCATAGCCAAATTTGAAATACATAAAGGCAAATCTCGAGGTGTCAGAAATGAAAAGAGAAATGAAAAGGAAACACAGTCAGGGTTAATGAGTAGAAACTGAGTCCAGGTGGCAAACAGAGGTGTCAAACTCAAGTAAGGGTTTAGAGGTCAGCAAAGACATTTGAACACTCACTTAGGGGCTTGAGATAAGGCTTAGAGCCTGAGTTAAAGAGCCCTTTGCATGAGAGCCATAAAGAGCTGCTTCTTCAGCAAAAGAGACAATCCACATAAGGCTTCATCAGACTGAAGAATGCCATGGATGCCTTCCAGATAGGGCACCAAAGTAGGGAGGGAACAAGAAAGGAAAACACCAACCTCTCTCTCCTCTCACACTCTAATCTCCTGTTTTTATTACCCACTGATTGAAGTCAAGTAGATTAGAAATAGCTAAAGGAAGAGTTTATAAAATGGAATAAAGAAAGGGAATTGAAGAAATAACCTGCAAAGAAAACAGAGAGAGTTAATGAGAATGGAAAAAAAGAGGGAGGGGGGCAGAAAAAAGAGCAAAACAAAAAAGCAGTCCAAAGACATGGAAAGAGAAAACGAGACAGGGACAACACTAGGATTTATTCAGAACTGAGTAGAGTAGTCGGTCACACGTGCCACAGCTTTCACAAAGTACCAAAGTACTTCACAAAGTGTATTCTGTGTAATATTAATATGTAGGTCATGAAAAAACGGTCTTTGGTTAAATAAGTTTGGAAACTACTGTATTCAATACAGTTAAATGGTTTTCTTTATGGCAGCAGCTTTTTACTCTAACAACATTAGGAATCTCCAAGAAAGAATTCACTGCTTTTATCCTAGCAGGGGTATGCCTCAATGACTTCATAAGGGCACATTTCTGGATTCCCCACCTTTGTCTCATTTAGGAGAAGAAAAAAAGTAATCCCATCACTTAGGTCACTGTATTTCTTAAGATCTGGAATGAGCAGGGATAGAAAAGGAGGTCAAAGAGATCTACAACGTATGTTGAAGCCTCAAAGCAAGTAAAAAACAACTGCCCTTTTAACTGAGTTTGTTTGCCTTTACTCATTTGTAAGAAAAAAAAGTTAACATCCTTTTTACTGGATTCTTTTTGCCATTCTGTATTTGTTTCCAGAGGAAATTATGCCTTCATGCAAAAACAAAAACAGAACTTCTACTTCCATCGATTATAGTAGTTCTCAGAGGTGAAAGTTCAGTCCCTTAGGGTGTGTTCTGGAAATGTATTAGGGTGTCTTTGGTTGACTCAATAATCGGGTGTCACTACTAGCATTTAAGGGTTAGGAGTTAAGGAACCAAGTGGTCCTATGATGAATAGGACAATCTTGAAAAATGAAGATTATCTCACATATTCACATAGATGAAAATCCTGTTTATAAATATTTGGGCATAAAACTGAATTTTAAATTAAATCTAAACATAATTTTTTTTGGCATTTCTGCATGGTTTTATTATACACTGAGTGTTCCAGAAATACAAGCACTGAAATAAAAGGAAGATTGAATTTTGTTTTGTTTGAAACTTTACCAAGAGTTTGCCACTATTTCAGAAAATCACACCACCACCAACAATACCACTTGGGGTATTTAACAGGCCTGCACAAGTCTATTTGTATCAGTCACATTCACAGTAATTATATTCACCTGACTACTTCATTATATCTTCTAAGGCAGTCATGCCTGAGCATTTATATATTGAAATATACATTATTAAATCTTAAATTACTTTCCTTTTATCTTTATACTTTAAGACATAGATCTTTGAAATTATATGTATCTAGGTTATATTATTTTTTATTTTCATTTCAGAGTAGTAAAGGAGGCATTACAAAATACTTGTTATAAAAAAGGGGCACTGGCATGTGGTGTGATGTTACAGTGTTAAAAATGAAAAGAAAGGCTTTTATAATCAGAAGGAAGGAAGAAGACTTTGAGTCCAACAGGACTGAAAAGAACTAATCTAAAGAAAACAATAACACTCTGGTTCAAAAAACGGGTAGAGGCAAAGAGGGTAGGGGAAGGAGGAACATGAGCCACTTTTTCACTCAGCTTCTAAGTTTCCATACTTCTGAGGAAACATACCTTTACTGTGTCTCAGTTTTTACTATTTCACAGAATCCCACTGTCCTGAACTACCCCACTACCTACTGAAAGTGATTAAAATACTTGGTAATAAAGGTAACAGTAATACACAGCCACTGCTACCACAGTTCCTCATGAGCCTTCTGACCCTGCCAGCTTCCAGAGGTGAGGTCATCCTTGTTTTCAATCCTAATACGGAATTCTGTGGTATACATCACTCTTCACGTGGTAACAGAATGCTGCAGAAACACTTACCTCAGTCGTAGTTCCAATGTCAGCAGATGGGCTGCATGTGCTGGTGTCTGGAGGAGCTGTGCCGACACTGCTTCTAACCGGAGAACCAGGGATAGGCCCTGCCAAGGCCTCTGGATAGGCTGAAGGACTGAGACTGCCTCTCTTCTGAATCTTATTCCAGACCTTATTCATGTTATCAGTTAGTTCATATAAGAGCTGCACCTGAGCAGAAGGGAACAAAAGGGAAAATAAGTTTTTCAACTTCTAGTCACAATTGACTAAAATACTAAATGTGAGAAAATTAAAACAACTCTTGGCAAACAAGAATATATATGGGAAAAAATCTATCAGTGTATCAGTGATCATGATATTACATCATGATTTATAATGTACAATACATAATTATTATATATTACATATATAATTATTACATACATGATGAGGAATATTTTATCATGACACTATGATACTGATGAGATATACAGAGAAAAAGAATTCATATAATGAATTTACAATTTTAAGTATTTTATCATTTGAATTTGAAATAGATATGAATTTATTCACACTTGAAATTTGTCACATATTTACAGTGTGATATTTCATAAGCAATTTAGCATTTCTGTGGGAAAATAATGCTAATATGATAATATTTCTAATATAACATTACTATGGGACAGTAGACTTCTTTTAATATGAATAATAAAACAAACACAAAGAAATGCCTCAAACAGAGGTCAGGATCAAAATTATAAGTCAAATATATCCTAGTAAATATGATTATTTAGTTACATATGACATAATTACCATTCTTATTTACAAATGATTTAAACATTTAAATTCTATTTTTCTGAGGAATAAATGTGAAACTGGATTTATTACTCAGCAAAATAAAGTGAAAAAGAATGATACAGAATATCAGACTTTTTTATAGATAAAGAACATAAACCATTCAACCTACTATTCCCCTCAGATTTGTCATTCCAATATTCAGAGAAAAAACTATTTAACTTGCTACATTGTTTGACTAAGTTCTAAGATATTTACACAAGATTTCATAAATAAGCATTAATCATGGAAATTGTATGACAACATATTGCCATATACTGTATAAAACAAGCCCAGGAAAAAAATGCAAACACAATATATAAGCAAATCCACAGCTGGATACCATATTCTGCTTGCCATTAAAAAAAAAAAGTGAAATTCTCATATTTATAAGAAGTTTCAGCCCCAGGATACATCCAGATGATAAAGCTGGCTTCTTATGTGGGCAGAACAGATGCATAAAAACACTGTTGTCAATCCTTACTTGATAGAAAACAGTACTTGGGTTACAGTTTTCTCATGCTTTTTGTGTGATGAAGTCTCAAATCTCAGGTTATAGTTCTTTTGATTAAAAAGAAAAATCTAATGGCTAGAAATCTTAGAAAAAACTTCTTAGAAAAATTTTAGTTCAAATTCTTTTGTCCTTCATAATCATCAATAAGTTCTCTCTGAAAAGAAACAATTTTATTGTAAGCCAAATTTTTTAAAAAGGTTATTTTACTTTTTCTTAAACAACTAGAACTGACACATAAAGGAAGCACAAACCAAAGAAAACAGGTTCTAAATATTGCTAAGAGCATAAGGTTTATTTACTTAAGAGAACTGATGATCTTATTGTCACTACTTCTGATTTTCTTTAATTGTTACCATTGAATAATTGTGTATGAATATCACCAAGCACATGTGTATTTAACATGCCAAGCAAACAGTGACACAAACTTTAAATACATTTTAATTTTCACAGAAGAAAGTTGCTATTGCAGAATGCAGACTTCCCAAATACAGAGGTTTAAAAAAATAAGGCAAACAATTTGAAGATAAATGTCCAACTCTTAGCCTTCAAGCTGTACTGAAAACTATGCCAACTAAAGTCACAATTAGCTACCACTACAGATCTCATAAAATGTCTAAAATTAAAAAGCCTAACCATACCAAGTGTACTGGCGAGGATGTAGAACAACTGAAACTCTCATTTACTGCTGATTTGTTGTTAGTGCTGTTGGGTTGATTTTGACTCCTGGCGACCCTCTGTACAGCAGCATGGAACTCTGCCCAGTCCTTTTTTGTGCCATCCTTTCATCTTCCAGCACTGTACCAGATAAAGCTCCATTGCTATTCATAGGATTTTCATGGCTAATTTTTCAGAAATGAGTAGCCAGGTCCTTCTTCCTAGTCTGGAAGCTCTGCTGAAACCTGTCCACTATGGGAGCACCCAGCTGGTATTTGAAATACCAGTAGCACAGCTTTCCAGCATCATAGCAACATGCAGCTGCCATAGTATGACAACCAACAGTAACTGCTGATCGGAATGCAAAATTTAAACCTAACATATGATCCAGTCATTTCACTCCTGTTTCCCCAAGAAAAATGAAAGTCTGCGTACACAAAGACCTGTATACAAATACTTATAGCAGATTCATTTGTAATAGTCTAAAACTAAAAATATATTTCAAATGTTCATCAATTAGTGGATGACCAATTTATAGTATATCCATACAACAGAATGATACTTAGCAATATAAAGAAACAAACTATGGATTCATGCAAAAACAAAGATTAATCTCTAATTATGTTGAATAAAAGAAGCTGGGCAAAAAGAGAAAGACAGAGAATATAACTGTATGATTCCATTTATAAAGAATCCTAGCAAATGAAAACTAACCTATAATGACAGAATGAGTGGTTCCCTGGGATGGAAAGGAGGAATGAAAGGGAGGATTACTAAGAGGAACAAAGAAACTTTTGAGGAGGATGGATTTATGCATTATGTGGGGGATGGTTTCATTTCATGGATGTACATATGCCAAACTTTATCAAATTAGGTAATTTAAATATGCGCAGTCTATTATATTTAAGTATGACCCAATAAAACTTACAAAAAACTCTAAAAAATGAATATCTTGTAAGATAGCTTTATGTGGATTATATATGAAGGCGACTAAATATAAATGATATTTTGAACATCAAATATTGATAGAATACCAAAAAAACATAACATTTTATTGTTTAAAAATTAATTTCAAAAACATTTTCTCATTTAATCTATGACCAATCAGAAAGGAGACTTAATTGGACTGGAGAAGCCAAGATAAACCTCAAGAAGATACATTCCTAAAGGATGGACAGGATTTAGGCAGGTGCAAAATGTCACTCCAGTCATAACAATAGCAAGAGCAAAAGCTAAGAGCAGGAAATGATCAAGCCATCATGTAGAGACAATGAAAAGTCCTATCAAGTTAGGGAGGAAGAACTCGTTTTGCAGGATATTATGAGAGTGAGTCAGAAAAGTAATCATAAAGGTAGAGCGGAAGAAGAAAGACCATGGATATACAATGTCAATGGAAACCAAGGAGGAATGGAATTTCAACAAGCAATTACTGATCCGTGTTGAAGAGTGCAAAGAGCTCTAAGTGAATATGAATTTACAAAGGCTATTTCATTTGGCAGGCTGCTTGTTAGGAAACATTAAAACTCAGTTCCAGAAGAAAGAGTTTTTGCCAAAAAAATAAAAACCCCAAACAACTTTTCATATAGTCTATTTACACTTACCACGTCTAATTTGGTTTAAAAGATAAAAATGAAAATCAGCAGCTCAGAGAAATTAAAACTGAGAGAGTGGTGCAAGAATACAAATCCAGTTGTCTCTGAACTCAGTGCTTGTGGTCTTAAGACAATAATGCCAAATTCCTTTGCCTTGGTGAAAACTAAACAAAACTTACAGCAATAAAAACTATAAATAAATGGATAGGAAAGGAGCATAAAACCCTCTCTTTCTCTAGTTCCACACACTTAAAACCCAAAAATGCAAAGACAGTTTTATGTTCCTGGGAATGCCTTTTCGGAGGACAAAATATATCAACTTATTGGCTGAGGGAAAACTGAAATTTTATTATATTAAAGAGAGAATTTTACAGGCTCATTTAATTTTGGAAGGAATACAGTTTTTAAGTTCTGAGAGACTAGTGTCTAAAGGCATGAAAGGGAATTGGGTAACTTTGGTAAAACAGTTAAGATGAAGGAAGAGTTGATGGAAATGACTCCAGGGAACAAGAACTGTGAATATTCAACCAGGTTAAATATTTATAGTGTCTAAGGCCCTTGAATGGCAATGAGTTCTAGGAAGCAACATAGTAGTTTTGGTCTCCATAGTTGATACAAAGACCTGCAACAATGTCTCACATGACAATGACTTGGCTCCGGGCCTGCCCTACAGATTGAGCTTACATCTCAAATATGTAAACTACTTGAGGGCTCTGTATCTGAGCAATAATGAACCAAATTAATTAAAGTACAAGGGTCAACCCTTCTGATGTCACTCTAATGGAAAAACAAAAGAATGGTATTTAAGTAGAAATTATTTCCCTAAAATGGAATCAAGAAATTTATATACTGGCTGCAATCGAAAGTCCACAAAGCTTCTGATTGTATATGAAAAATTTAGGGGGTAGATACATTGTTCTGGGGAAAAGGCTCAGAGCTTTTATCAGATTCTCAAAGAAGGCCATGGAACACAAAAGGACAAGATGTATTGTCCTTCACAAAAACACAAAAAACAAAACAAAAAAACAGGGGTTAGTGAGCAACCACTCACAAGAAAGAAGTTTATTTTGAGTCATTAATCTTAAAAGACAAAATAAAAATAAGGAAATTTTAAGATCCTATATGCACATGGAAGTTCGTATTTTAGAGGCCCACGATAGTCTTTTGTTTTTTGAGGAAGATTAGCCCTGAGCTAACTGCTGCCAATCCTCCTCTTTTTGCTGAGGAAGACTGACCCTGAGCTAACATCTGTGTCCATCTTCCTCTACTTTATATGTGGGACGTCTGCCACAGCATGGCTTGCCAAACAGTGCCATGTCCGCACCCAGGATCTGAACCGGTGAACCCTGGGCCCCCAAAGTGGAACGTGAGAACTTAACTGCTGCGCCACTGGGCCGGCCCCCCACGATAGTCTTTTTGTAAGGTAGGACACCCCAAAAACAAAAAGAGACATATAGATTTCACTAAGAAACATTAAACATTTTGTCAAAAGATGCCATAAAGTTTAAAGGCAACCCTGTATCTGTAATACAGCTATTTGCTTTTTAGAGTATAAGGGAAGCTCTTCAAATTGCTAAGAAATTTAATAGAAAATTGGGCAGACATGACTTATTGTCAATTCACAAAAGAGCAAATTC